GCGAGTTCGACTCTGTATGAGTATGGATGTATTGGCAGATGAGCGGTAAGAGCATGGGTGGTGGCCATGGAAAGATAGGAGTGTTGTAAGACTGTGGGGTGGCTCGTAGCATCCACTAGGTTGGAAGATAGTGTTGGAGTGTTGTAAGACTGCAAGGTGGCCCATAACATTCACTAGGATGACATATACTATTGGAATGTTGTAAGACTGTAGGGTGGACCGTAGCATTCACTAGGTTGGCAGATAGTGTTAGAGTGTTGTAAGACTGCGGGGTGACCCGTAGCATTCACCGGTCCTTGAGTAACGGTAAGGGCATGGAAAATCTATGATTTGGCTTTTGGATTTCTTCAGATGGATTAGACCAGAGTAAGTCAATTTGTAAGACTGTGGGAAGGACACAACATTCATGGAACTCAGGAAGTAGTGGGTCGTATGAGGCCGGTTGTGATATAAGACCATAGTTGGTCATGTAGCATCCACTATTAGCATTAGATTTGGTGGCGTCAAGTTTGACGGTTGGTTATGAATGGTTGGATCAGAAAGGTTGTTGGAACCATAACGACGAGATGGCTAGGGAAATTCTTGTCAGATGAGGCCTTCGTTCGGAAGTCGCATGGTGCGACTGTATAAGACTATCCATCTCAGTAACCAGGTGGAATCCAGTGAATCGGTTATTCAGCAGGTAAGTTGGGACCAGGGAGGTCTCGACTGCTTTTGGAAAGCAGCTAGGGGGCATCAAGATGAGTTTAGGACGATATCAGTGATTTAGGGCTCGTGTGTGGAGTTGCTTGTTATTCGGGGAATATGTTAAGTCACTTACAACCTAGATTAAATAATCTCATAGTAATTGATTTGAACTTGCTGCACAACTCTCATTTGAGTCTAACCGTTGTAGAGGATTAATTTAGGCTGAGAAAGGATTCATTCATCATTAGGATTGGAGAGCCATGTTAGGGTTGGGTTCGGTTGCCTTTGGGAAGGCTGTTGTATGCTCGGGGTTTTGGTAATGTTGCTCAGGCTGTTTGGCGTGCCTGGGAAGGTAAGGAATGATTTCGAGGACAAAATCTAATTTAAGTGGGGGAGAGTTGTAACACTCGATTCCAAGTATGAAATTATTTCCGATTTGTGTATGAGTTCTTTTTGGCCATGACGTGGTGAAGCCTCACCACGGCGTTACGATAAGCTTTTGGGCCACGTATTTTTTTTGGGCCACCACGGCGTGGTGGTGTTGTACAACGACGTGGTGGCGGCTGATGGAGAAAACCCCAAAGTTTAAGGGGCTAAGCGCTATTTAAAGATCCTTAACCCCTCATAGCCTCCCTCACATCAACCTCCATTCCCCCAAATCATTCCTTGCGAACCCTAATCACCTTCCACCATTTTTGAGTTAGTTTGGTACTCTTTGAAGCTACATAATGAAGAAGGAAGAGGAAGGGAGCAAAGATCAAACAAGCAAGTACCCATTCTTCATATTGGCACACTTATGGACCTTTGTAAGTGTCTAAGACTCGATTTTTATCATTCCAAATTGTTAGATCTTGAGTTTTGTCCCTTTAGTTTCTTGTTCTTGAATGATGGACTGGTTAGACCTCATAAAGTTTGCGACTTTATGAATCTCTAGGTCAAGATGAGCTAGTAGTGACTTGGATCTGAATTATAATCAAGTTTTGATGTCATGCATAGAGATTAGGTCATAAATCCTCATTTTGACCTAATATGGGTTCAAGACATGCATTGGACATGTATGTCTATAAAGCACCAACCTTTTGGATGGTTTTGGTGTTAGAATCACTTCTGGAAAGGATGGACTTCAGACTTAAGGATTAGGTGCTTATTGGTTAAGCCATTGCATTATTAAACTTTATGGATTGGGTTTTGGACCTTTATGGGTAGTCTCATTGGATAAAGTTGGAAACTTTATCCTTCTAGATCATATTTTGGGCTAGATCTGAGCTTTGGAGCTCTTGGAGTCGAAGAAAACAACTGAAGGTATTAAGCTGTTGAAACTCAGGCAACCACGACGTGGTTGCAAGTCAACACGGCGTGTTAGCTGGGGTTTTCCCAACTGTTTACATGCTGGCGGAACACGACATCGCCAATGAAAACACGGCATGTTGGGTTAACATGGACTGTTGACTTTTGACTTTTGACTTCGACCAAGTTTGACCTAGGGGGTATTTGAGGTATTTTGAGTTGTATTTAAGGATTGGTCTCTATTTGATGAATAGGTGACGCGTAGAGCTGATATTCGGAGTTGGGACCTATTCAGCTACTGTTCAGATTCAGTGGTGAGTCTCATCACTGTACTATGGGTCGAAGGCACCAATGTCGGCCCATTGGCTTATGTATTATTAGAAGACCAAGGGGTGACCCTTGGCATTGTATGTAAGACACGTAGGTGGCTCCTAGCAAATTTGTATGCAAGACCAGGGTTCGGACCCTAGCAGTTAAGTAGATTGTTAGTTGTAGTTTGTATGCTTGTTGTCTTTGTGATGCTTGCATGGAAGACCAGGAGGTGGCTCTTGGCACTTGTCTGTAAGACCTAGGGTTTTGGCCCCCAGCTTGGCAAGGAAAGACCATGATAAGGCTCATGGCATAATGAGAAGACTATGACTGGCACATAACATTCTCTATTGTATGTATGGTATGTGGTATTTTGGGGAACTCACTAAGTTTTGTGCTTACGGTTTATTGTTATTGGTTTCAGGTACTTCCGATTCGAAAGGGAAGGGCCCGACTTGATCGCAGCGCATACACCCATGTTTTTCCGCAACTTTTTGATTTTGGGATTGTACTTTGATAATTATTTTATTATGAAATACTTCTAAATGTTTGAGTAAAAGAAAATTTAGTGTTTTGATTATATTAAAAATGAAAATTTTACCTTGAAATTTTGGGATGTTACACGTTCTTTGAGTTCTACAAAACCAGAACTGGGATGGAAATAATCCCCGAACCGCAAGCTGGTGGCCAAGCAGAATGCTTTCCTGTCAAAGCAAACCCGATAGTCGCCAACTGGAAATAGAAGCTATTCTAGGTTAACTGGATAAAAAGTAGCAAATTCCTTGCACATAAGATAATGGAATAGTAAAGGGTGACATTCGACACCCATCGACATGTTCACATAATCACTAAAACATGATTGCCTAAACATCACCACACAAACTGGTCGGTTTTGTAAGCGCGCCCAAGTTCAGGCATGCAGGTTGTAGTAACAATCGCTTCGTATCTTCTATCATGCCACAATAAAAAAAACTATTAATTAGGGATTTTTGTGTGTATGTTCCGGAGTGGAATTCCAGATAAAAAAAATCTGGAATGGTAGTCCGGACCATAAATTCCTGACCGAAATTCCGGATCCGATTCATTGTATTCCAGAGAGTTCTAAGTATTCCAGACATGATTTCGAATTCAAGACACGTTCCAGACTCGCGGAAATTAGAGTTTTTTTTTATAACAATTTATGATGTAGTATAAATGTAAATACATGTAATCCTATAATTGTCTTAACACGATTAAAATTCACAGAAAACCCTATAATACCTATATAATTCCGTAACCTAAACATGTTTTAACGTATAATCTAAAATAAATGCATAAAATTTTAAACAAATTTTAAACTTACATATAAAAACTACATTTCTTCACTGCTATCAAAAGACATTTTTAGTTGTAGAGGTATCCGGAATGGGATGTAGGGTAATCTGAAACAAGGGAATGTCGAAATCTAGTCCGAAACGGGTTAATGGTATTTATAAGAAAACCAGATTACCAGATCAGAATTATTTACCCATTTACCGAATATGAAATCGGGTCCAGAACGCCCCATTCCGGACCAAAGTTGTCATTTTACAAAAAAAAGTTCTGTTTTTAAAAAACAACAAAAAAAAGTTAGGTGTTGTTTGTTTTTTCTGAGACAAAATATCTGCAGTCTGCGGACCACATCTGTAGAGCTCTGCTCTGTAATAGAAGAGGTGGACCAAACGTCTGCAGTCGGAAAAAAGAAGACTGTTTGTTTTTTTAACATCTGCAGGCTACTAAAATAAACTAAAATCTAAACAAACTGATTTTTTTTAAACTTCAAAGTGATTTTTTAAATATTTTTATGACTTTCTTATAAATAATTAACAAATTTAGATAAACTTTTATGTATTGTATAAAAAGTGAAAATAAAAATGGTACGAATTAACGTATACATTTGATAAAAACCAATAATTTTGATCGCAAAGTTATACCTAAACATTGTAATTAGGAATCAAAGAATTTGATACATAAATGGATGAAAATAAACTTCGATTTTTCAATTAAATCAATTAAAAACGTATCATAAATATTTTCTCAAGAAATTGACGATACTGTATTAAATAATGTTTTATAAAAGTTGGCACAAAAAATATAACAATATATTATGATTTTTTTGTTCATATTTATATAAACAACTTCGACGACCATTATTATAATAAATCTTTATTTATAATTTTGTCAAAAATATCATATTTGTATCGTCGAATTTTTTTTTAAGTATTGTAACTTTTTTTTCAAATTGTTTATCGTTAATAAAGTTGGAATAAATATAAATTTAATATAAAAACTAAAAAAATAAAGATATATGTGTTTTTTACGCTACAAAATGTCTGAAGACGTTAGAAAACTTTAGTCCACATCTGCGACAAGAAGAGGACGCACGGACATTTGCGACAAGAAGAGGACGCAGGGACATTTTAGACCTGCAGTCTTCAAATAAAACAAATGCAAAAGCTAATATTACGTATTATACTTAATCCCCATTTAGTGAAAACCGATACGGCAGTAATCAAATTTGAAATATCCAAGACACCCCTTGTTTAGAGTGATTTCGATGCAGGCCGATAATTGGGTGGGGGGTAGAATGGTCATTTGAACACCACCTTGATGTTCCCAGTCTCTTGCCACGCAACGACAACAGTCGCTGCCAATTCCAGACGAAAACTTTCAAAAAAGGTGCCGAAAGAGGAGGAGAGATGTCTGAATACAGAGCTGAAGATGAGTATGATTACTTGTTCAAATTGGTTTTAATCGGCGATTCTGGTGTTGGTAAATCCAATCTTCTTTCCAGGTTCACTAGAAACGAATTCAATTTAGAAACAAAATCTACGATCGGGGTCGAATTTGCTACCAGGAGTCTTAACGTTGATGGCAAGGTCATCAAAGCTCAGATTTGGGACACCGCTGGTCAAGAAAGGTCCAACCTCTTTCTATTTCCTTCAATTAATTATATCCGTATCAATTCTATTAGTTTGTTGCATGTATAACTTTTTTGCTTAAGAAATTGAATTCTTAATTGATTTGCTGAAGTTGCTTTGCTTTTAGGGTTTCTTGATGTTAATATTTTATATTGTTCATCTCGAAATAAAATTGGTTTTGTATGATTTGTGATTTCACAGTAAAATATCAAAGTACCTTTGTTAATTATAGAAAGCTAGTGCACCTTTTAGCCCCTAGACTTCGTTAAGACATGACAAGCTTTCAAGGTTAAGACATGACAAACTTTCAAGGGCTATTTTCAATCATGAGAATGAGGAGGACATTCTCGTCTTTTCATAGAATCAGTCCAATACATACCAAATACAATCTGATCCCACAAAAAAAAAGTTCTTATTCTACAATGAATGATACTCTTTTTGGATCAGTCTGAACACACAAAAAAAAGAGTTCTTATTCTACAATGAATGATACTCTTTTTGGATGAGGTGGAAAGTGTGTAGTTGACATCTGATTTATGGGTTTGAAAACTCGACATTTGTCTCGTTTGACATTCTCCCTTATATATAAATATGGATATAGGGCTCTTTGATAGGGATATATGAATGACACCATAACAACTTATTTAAAAGTGGTGCACTAGTATACTATATAATATTTCTTATTTTCACTTTTTATGCTATAAGATACAATGGAAAAGAATCTAAGGTTATGCATCCTATTTATAGTATTGGATGATTTGGATCATTGTTGTTGGAGAAGCTTGTTAGGGGTATGCTTGATGATTAAAATAAGAGGGCATTAACGTCTTTTGCACAAATGAGAGATCGAGGCCGAGTCCAGAGTCCTACCTATCCTTATATTTTATCAACTGAGTGATGATTATTTGATTATCTGATTATTTAAGTTGTGATAATGACTTTTAAAATGAATATGACATATCCAAACATCTGCTAAAATTAAAATGTAGATATTTTTAGCAGCAAAGGGTGCATTAGTGTTATCTTATGTGAGATGGGGGACCAAGGAAAAGGTGTAATCAAAGGTGGCCAAAAACATCTTTTAAAAGTAGAACCACTTCTATACGTAAATAATTGCATGAATCACCATTATTGATTATATGATATGATAGGTAAATCTTTGATATTAAGATTATATTATGAATACCATTAGTGAATGTATCAGAACACATATGACATAACACAAGTCACAAAATCAAAATACAAACTTTTTATAAACAAAGTTATTGTTATAATATAATAAAGAACCTAAAAGCAGAGCACACTTCCATTGCAGGTGGTTTTGTTTTTTCTCATCTCAATTTCTCTTATTGTGATAAATTTTATTTCCTTACTTTTAAGAGGGTTTTTTGATGTTTGTGTTCAACGTGATTATTGCATCTTGAAAAATTAGAATCAAAATTATAGAATTGTACTTTCATTTTTTTTCTTACTAAGGATATTATACTTGGAAAAATCTACCCAGTTATAGCAGTGAAAATTTCAATAATATTCTTACCAAGACATTAGACTGTGAAAAATCTACCCAATCATAGTAGTTAAAACTTAAATTTGCTTTGCTTTGTATACAAATGACATTGCAATAATTGGGTAGATTTTTTCAACATACAATAGGAAAAAGTAAACGTAGATTGTTACAATAAACAAATCAATGAAATTACATTACCATTTCTTGCATTTAACCTTTTTATATAATGTGTATTGCTCTTTTTTCAAAATACAATGTCTTCATAAGAAAGAAATCCGAAAGCACACCATTGTTATCCTTACCATAACGAAGTGAAAGTAAGATGCTATAATACAGATAACAATGAAAGCACATTGCTATTTCTTTCATTTAACTTATTTTTTGTAGTAATACAGATATCGCGCGATTACAAGTGCTTACTACCGAGGAGCAGTTGGGGCTCTACTCGTGTACGACGTAACACGCCGCGCGACTTTTGAAAACATCGAGAGGTGGTTAAAGGAGTTACGGGACCACACGGATCCCAACATCGTTGTGATGTTGATTGGAAACAAATCGGACCTCCGTCACCTCCTTGCAGTGTCAACCGATGAGGGAAAAACATTAGCGGAAGCAGAGTCCCTTTGTTTCATGGAAACCTCCGCATTGGAAGCAACTAATGTTGAAAATGCTTTTAGTGAAGTGATTACACAAATTTATAGGATTGTGAGCAAGAAAGCGGTTGAAGGTGGTGGGGACACGGGGTCGGTTCCGGCTAAAGGAGCCGCGATTGATGTTAGGGATGAGTCTGTGGGCCCCAAACGGTTCGGGTGTTGCTCGGGTTAGGGTTAGGGTTTAGGGTTGTGTTAATTGGCCATGAGAATCTGTTTGAGAAGGTGTAAGGGCTTGTGGTATAGTATGAATTGGTATGGTTTTGGAATGTAAAATTTATTAAACTTGGTTTTTTCTTGCTTTTTCTACAATAAAGGCTACAAAAAATGCATCAAGGGCCTAGCGGAATGGTTAGTGTGAGCTTTAATTTTGACTTACTTTGACTATTTCATTTTAACTGTCAACTAGATGGAGATTGGAGGGTCATTTTGTATCAAAATTTCATCCTACATGATAGTTTTTTTTGGGTAGGATGTTAGCGTATAGGGCTGTGTTGTTGGAAGAATAATATTTTTACTGAAATCTTGTAAATAATAGTGTACTAAAATTGATACAAGGGATAATCACAAAAATCACCATTTGAAGGTTTGAAATATGGACAACAACCCTTTTTTACGATTTATCAAAATGGGCCAATCGGACTAATTTCGGACCAGTTTTATGTAGCATCAAAAGTATATTTTTTTGACAAAAATATAATTGTGGGATTTTGGACTGCCACAGAGATATTGTATTCTAAAATTTCAAGAAAATGTAGAAATATGGTGATGGTAGGTCGGTGATTGTGGTAGTGGTGTTGGGTGGGTGGGTGTGTGTGTGTGTGTGTTTGTG